ACACAGTGAATGGGAAGGAATATGAAAACAAACTAGTTGAAGCAATTCAGTAGATTGGTTATTTTATAAACAAGTTGAAAAATAAAGATTAAAAGGTAACACTTTTGATAAGAGAATCCAGATTCAAGAAATTGATCATATCAGAATATGAATATGGTCTACACAATTTACAATCAACATACAAATGGTTTTTAATGCAATTATAACATAATCAGTATAAATTAGTTGAAGTTGAACGACTAGACAGTAAGTAAACCACACTGACCAGTATGAAGCTGATTCTTCAAATTTACTGTCAAAAAATCAGTCAGTAAAGCCTCGACAATTTTAGGAATAGCAGAAAGAATTATAATGAAACGATAATTAGGAATCAATGAGTTAAGGATAAAATCAATAAATAAATTGTGATGAAAAGTGACCCTCAGTCAGAGATTTATAAAAAATAAGCCATAGATGCCTACATAAAAAGAATGCACAATTCCCTAAAAATAAGTTAAGATATTATGTCTGGACCAAGACCTTTATTATAACCTAAACCTAAACCTTAACCTAAATCAAATCCGAATAGATTACAGGTACACGACACTAATCAAAAACATCTATCAGAACGCTACATCAAGTATACGACTGCACGAAGACACAGAAAAATTCAGCTTAGGTCGAGGAGTTAGACAAGGAGACAATATTTCACCAAAATTGTTCACGGCAGCTCTAGAGTCAATATTTAAGGGTACTCAATGGCAAGATATGGGCATCAATATAGATGGAGAGAGATTAAATCACCTAAAGTTTGCAGATGATGTTGTATTAATCGCAGATAACTTACAAGATACAGTTTCTATGATGCATTCGCTTAAAAGTCTGTCTAAAAGAGCAGGATTAAAGATAAACTTTGAGAAAACTAAAATTATAACAAATCTCGTAATGAGTGGAAATATAACTATTGACAATAATACCATACAACAAACAAACACTTACAAATATCTAGGACACGAAATCAAAATAAGCAGAGACAATCAAACACATGAAATACAGGGCGAATAGGTCTAACATGGGCAGCATTTGGCAAATTAAGCCATATTCTAAAAAGTTCAATTCCCATGTGTCTCAAGCGAAAGGTTTATAACCAATGTGTTTTACCTGTACAAACTTATGGAACAGAGACTTTAACACTCACAAAAATCTGCGAATAAACTTAGAGTTACACAACGAGCCATGGAACGTGCAATGCTGAACGTGAGCCTTCGAGACCACATAACAAACCAACAAATCAGGCGAAGATCAGGAGTTCAAGACGTCATCAAAAGAACCACGACGCTTAAGTGGAACTGGGCAGGGCACTTAGTCAGAACACAAGATGGACGGTGGACAAGACGTATTATGGAATGGAGGCCCAGAAATTATAAAAGAAGCCGAGGACAACCACTGACTAGATGGACCAATGACATTAAACGTGTAGCGGGAAACTGGATACAAGCGGCCCAGTGTAGAGAACACTGGAAAGAACTGAGGGAGGCCTATGTCCAGCAGTGGACGCGATTGGCTGATTGATGATGATGAAGACCTTTATTGATATTAAGACACTGTAAGCATGCGTCACAAATTTTAACAGTTAAAAGAGTGAATATGGCTGTTACTGATATGGGATCTTTGACTACACTTGTCTACACAAGAGAAAGAAGGATTGTGAATACTGCTAAAGAAATTGACAAAATTGTTGAAATTGTGGTTCTTAAAAACAGAACCATTCAACTTCCCTTATCCCTTCCCATTCTGATTTCCCTTACAATTGTGTGGTCAGCAATTAAAAGCAGACAAGTCAATTGTTGAGTTTTAAATTTGAAATCATAAGTATGAAAAAGATCAATACCTAATATGGAACTTTGTCTGTTTTCTTTCAACAGTAGATTAATTTTTAGGTATTTATTTTTAATATATAAAACAGTCTCAAAAATTGGACTGTTCCTTTGTGTCCATGAACTACACAATTTAATCATTACAAAATTAATCATATTTGCTAATGCAACATGCAAGTTAAATTTTATCTGCCCTCTCTTTAAATATTTCCTCAGATATTTCATTATCAAGTTTCAACTTCCTTCCCCATGGCAACGCTAGTTTTGGAGTTTTTCCAAGCAACATCTGAAAACAAAATTAATGTACATTCATAAATTTAATAAACTAATTTCAGATTTAGTTCATTATACTTTGCTTCTTGTGAATAAATCATAATTCAAAGTAAAATTAAACACACGAATTTCAAGTGCTGTAGTTTTAATGAATCTCACCTGAATTAGAAGAATACCAACCCAACCATTGGTATTTATTTCTAATGACCAAATGAGCAGTAATTACACTTTTATACGTAAAAAATAAAAATAACTGTATAAATAAAATATATGGCCAACAACAAACCTTTATCTCATAAGCTAGCTGTAGTTCTTAAAGCAATCTCATAGCCAGACCTGAACATTTATGAATTGGTAAAATTTGCCATCTAAATTACATATAAGACACAGTTAACAATATGCTTAATCAGCTGTATGTGGCCACTTAAGTGATAGTGTAAATTCTTAAATGCACCTTAAATTGATTTATGTTTATAAGTTACAAACCTTTTAAAATCAGAGCTATATGTGTGTCCTCAAAAACTTTATATTGCTTTTTCCCTAGCCAACTATCTTTTCCTTGAATTTTATTCCAGATCATCTTCTTATGGCTTCTCCTAACAAATTCATTTATGGTCTCCTCACCAATTTTGGAAAGCTCATTATCCTAAAATATAAATCAACATGTAATAGTAATCTAACTACCCCACAAACTTGATCATCCATGCTTAATTATTTTAGCTTAAACCATCTAATAAAAAAACAGCATCTGTTACAAAATCAATCAAACATTCATTTGCAAATTTTGGATATGACTGACTACTAAAACTCTTTTTTTGGTGGGATTCCATCAAAATGTAGATGAAGATGAAGATAAAAATACCATTGAAATTTGCATCATATGGATCAGAGTATTTGTTCTCTGGGTGAAGCGAAGCAAGAAGGGTTCTAGCATTTGAACTCAAATGAGAAAAGTCAGGAACTTCTTTATGAATTTTTAATAAATCACCTACATAAGGGATAGGACAAACCACGATTCCACATGCACTTTTTAGAGCCACACAAGATCGAGAGGAGTATGCCATAATTGTTGTTAACATCCACTAATTAGATAGGGCACCATAAGAAGAAGAATAAATCACCTAGTATTAAAGGACAAAGTCCAGTTGAATAACTTATTAGAAAAATTAAAAACATCTCGATAAGGTTCTCCAGAATTCTCGTTACAACCATGTTTAGACATTTCTTCAGTTTCATTGAAAGAAGAGCTTTGTAAAGGATCATCGGAATGGTCGTCCACGTGGTAATTTGCATTATTTTAGGTACTTAACATGTTAATAAAAAGTTTAAATCGGAAGTATTGTAACCTGAACTATTTGAACTGAATGATCAGTCAGGGATTCCGAATAAAAGTTTGAAGGAGATGGAATATCGAGGTTATTAATATTTTCAACAATATTCTCTACGTTTTTCGTAACCTTCCTCTGTTGATGACGCTTAGAAACAAATCGTTTTCTTTTAAACATAATTAATAAGTAAAAATTACACTTACCTTTAAAATAAAACCAATTTCTGAAGTATAACCTAACACGTGGTACCAAACCTTTAAACAATATACAATAACCACAACACAATGCCAAGCATCAAAAAACCAATGCACTGTATACTGCTTAAATAGAATTCTTTTATTTCATTTATTAAAGCATTAATAATATAAATATAATTAAACTGTGCCATTTGTTTAAATAGGTATGATATGGCAGACAATGACATTATCATCATTATTTTGTTCAGCCAGAGTCGCCAGAGTATATACTACCACTTGTTCATCTTTGAAAAATGATTTCAAGATTCATCTTGTTGATAAAAATCATATTTTTACTTATTAGAATTAGCAAACATATATCATCGTGATAACTAGAATAATAAAACAATTGTAATGAATTATCTAGAAATAAAATATTTTTACACTTTACCTTAAACAAAAACATGTTTTGGATATATTAAACTATACAATTTTTAATTAATCGTGATTTAACCTTTTCGCTTTTAATTATTTTATTAACGCAAATAATTTTTTATTTTATTAAAATATTTGCTATTTGATCCCATAATTGGTAAATGTCAGATGTCCAGAAAACGTCCAAGTTCGGACGTCCAGGGGACGTCCGAGTATGGACGTCCATGGAACGTCCGGGAACGGACGTCCAGAGAACGTCCATATTTAGTCCACCCAAAGTACGTCCCACTTCGTACGTCCATAGTACGTCCATTTTACGTCCATAGTACGTCCATTTTACGTCCAGGGACGTCCGGACCAAAACTGGACGTATATTGGACGTCCATAGGACGTCGTGTGTTACTAGGGTAGATGTCATTGTAGAAAAACAACTTTAGGGTGAATTAAGCACGAGGACGAAGACGAGGAATAGGTTTATTTTTGATACTGTCTGTTTCTGTAAATATTTTATTAGTAAAACGCGTTATCGAGCGTAAATATAAAAGAGAATACAAACCCATTTTCGCTCATATTAAATTTGATTTGGACTTACCTTCAAAGAGACTACTTATAACTGACCACCAATCTCTCGCAAATCTTAATACTTGGCCTCGATGCTATTCTAACGATAACCATTTACAGTTTTTGCAATGTATTGTTTTTAGTTTTCTACCAAAACTAATGAATCATTTTCTACAGACATTACTGTCAATCACAAAAATCTTAAAAATTATAGAATTAACAATATTTTATCTTTTGTTCTTAGTTAAACTGAGTTCCATAAACATATACATTTAGAAAATATATTGGTACACATTTTATTTGTAAAAGTAGTAAATAAAACCAGAGACGGATTACTGAAACATTTTTTAATTTAGAAATTTTCTTTACAGATATTGTTGCTGGCTCGGGTTGGAGATATCAGGATGAAGGTAAAGATAGATAACATTCGGTAGATCAGGTTTTACAACTTTAATCACCAATTTTTTTGTTGAATAGAACAATTATTTTTAAATCTCCCAAGTAGAAATGCAAAGATTTCTTGGTTGACGAAACCAAAATTCGGATTTTTGCTTTAATCTGTGTCTTCTATAAATTGCAAGGTAAAATAGAAGTTAAAAAAGTAAGAAAGGCCTCGAGCATCTAAAGAGTAAACCGAAATAAAAAAAGACAGACAAAAAGAAAAAGATTTTATTTTACGTGTAGTGCCTCTGTATATTCGCTTATACGTATTTTATCCTACGAGGACTTATCAGAGCGACTAATACAGAAGCTCTAAAAGTGAAGTCAAATCTTTTCCGTCAAAAGAAGCAACAATAAAATGGCTTTTCAATATGGACTTTATTTTCGCTTTCAATATTTTCAATTTAAATATTTTTAATCCTAAAACTAATGATTAACTGTTCTACATTTTAAAAACATTTTAAGAAAAATTGTCCACCATTTCTCGGTTTATTAATTGTTTAAAATATCATAAAGAATTATTTAAACAGGTTTTAATAAAACTAATATAATCTACCCAAAAGTGTAAAATTGTCAGAAAATTTAAATTTGTTTAAAAGTAATTTGTTGAAACATATGTACCGTTTAGTTTGCCGTTTAAGTTCGTACTTTTATTTTAATAAATACCTGTATGTAAATTTTTACCTTTTAAACATAACAAATTGGTAAAATATTGTATTTAGATGAATTTGCTTCCATTGATAGTGATATACCTACAAAGACACTTAACTTTTTAGCATTAGGGACATTGTTGAAGAACTGCGAGATAATGGTGAAAAAGACAATTCTGACAACAGTGATCCAAAATCCATTTTATGAACTATGAGCGAAGTGTGTGTAAAATTGAGGGACACATACAATAATTTATTATGCAAAAATAATGGTGAAATTTTTAAGGATGTGTTTCGAATTTTACTTAAATGTGAAGCTGAGGTTCTTAAACCAATTACTATTTAAATGGAAATAAGCCACAATTAAAGGTTAAAGTACGTTTTTGACGTTTCCATTTCCATTACAAACATTAGTAAATTAAATAAATTTTGTTGTTTTGTTACTTGGTGAAAAAATTCTTCTAATAATTTAATTTTATCTGATTCGTTTATATTGATAATTTAGACATACATTATACATTTTAAAGTAGACGACTTTAAAATGATATCGCCAATATTGTTGAGTTGCGTTCCTGGGACGACTTTACTTGTAAGACAGTTCATTCGATTATATGATATCAACTTTAACTTGAGATTATGCGTCAGAAAAAATCATAGCATGTAATTCGTCTTTCAAAAGACAAACCCATGCTATGGTGGAAGTAAAACTCTCCTGTTAGTGATTCCGTAGTAAATTATGAGAGAAAAACCAGGAAAAATCCTCGTAATACTATCCCGATATGATAAGTATTTGGACGTGGATTTAGTTTTCTTTCAATAAACACTAAATTTTGATTTTATATGTTTGTTATTTAAAAAACATAAATGATGTATCTATCTTCTATACGTTACTGACTTACTAATACTGATATTCTCGTTTTAATAACTTCCTCTTTTAATACGGGTTACCAGATTTGCGACACAATTGGTATTATTTAGCATAATTAGAGCCGCTTCTTTGATTTTTCTCTTTTTACCATCCGTTTCTCTTAGGACTATATTTGAATCATTCCATTGGACCCTATGTTCATTATCCCATGTGTGTTTACATATTTGAGATCTATCAACTTCTCAATTTTATATATATATATATAAATATATATATATATATATATATATATATATATATATATATATATATATATATATATATATATATATCATCATCATCATGGCTTATCCACTCCTGGCGGAGTGTTTGCCGCCCTTTTGGGCTCTCTGATTCATTTATTGCGGAGAATCAGTCCGCTGTTGTTCTTTTTATTATCATAGCAGCGTGTGTGACTTGGCCCTGTCTACAATTTTCCTCCATTCTTTCCGATACTTACAGCGCTCCTTCCAATTGTAGATTCTCAGCTTCTTTAGGTCTCCTAAGACTTGGTCTCTCCATCTTGTTTTGGGTCTCCCCTTTGGTCTCTTTGTTGTTGGTCTCCATCCAGTTATTCGCTTTAGCGTAGAGTCTAGGTTAGCTCTTTCTGTGTGCCCCAGCCACCTGAGCCTTTGCGTCTTAACGAACTTGATTATGTCTTCACCCTCGATGACTTCTTTAATTTCTTCATTGGTTAATCTTCTAAATTCGCCTACACTTATCCTCACTGGCCCCATTATTCGTCGAATTATCTTTCTCTCTAAGATTTCTAACCTCATTTCATCTTTTTGTGTTAGGCACATCGTCTCTGCACCATAGGTGATCACTGGCCTGATTGTAGTCTTGTAAATTTTTAATTTGGTTTTCTTACTAATTTGTTTTTCTTTCAGGAATTTTTGGTAGTTCCAGTAGGTTTTATTACCCAGTAGGATGCGTTCATTTATTTCATCCGTTCTATCATTTCTGTCATTCACCATCACTCCCAGGTATTTAAAACGGTGTACTCTTTCAAATGTATATGCACCAAGCTTAATTTCTTTCTCTATGTTCGTATTCTCTCTTGAACACTTGAGGTATTTTGTTTTGCTTTGGTTTATTACTAGCCCTCTCTTCTTTGCTTCTTTATCTAGTATTAATATTATGTTCTGCATGGTTTTTAAATCTCTAGTAACCAGTGCAATATCATCTGCATACGAAATCAGTTGGGCTGAAGATTCGATAATCGTTCCCATAATTTTGGCTGCTCTTACTGCGCCCTTTATGGCAATATTAAATAATGTTGTTGACAGGGAGTCTCCCTGTCTGACACCTACCTCCATTTGTACTTCATCTGACGGGCCTTCCTTTGTTAAGATTCGTGCCTTGGATTCCTTCATCGTCATTTTCGTGAGACTTATTAATTTTTCTTGGATGCCTAATTGATTCATATCCTTAATTAGCTCCTCCCTTATTACACTGTTAAAAGCTTGCTTGTAGTCAATAAACAGTATATGTAGATCTATTCCGTGATCGTAACTTTTTTCGACTATTTGCGTTACAATTTGTATTGCATCTATTGTTGACTTACCTTCTCTGAATCCATGTTGGTATTCACCTATTTTTGTTTTAGTTTCTTTTTCTATTCTTTGTCTGATCAAATTAGTTAATATTTTGTACATTGTATTTAATAACGTGATTCCCCTGTAGTTAGTGCATTTCGTCTTGTCACCTTTTTTAGGGATTGGTGTTATCAGACCACAATTCCAGTCGTTCGGCATGCTTTCTTCTTCCCAAATTCGTTCTATTAGGTTGTGGATTCTGTGGGCTAGTTCCTCTCCCCCATTCTTAAAGAACTCATTTATAATATCGTCTGGTCCTGCTGCTTTCCTTGTCTTTAATCTGTTTATAGTCGCCAATAGTTCGCTGTATGAGGGAGGCTCTGATTGTTCTCCATTCCTATTTTCTGTTTGTTCTTCGCCACTCTATCTATTTTGAAGACGTTTCGCTTTCGTATCCTGAAAGCATCATCAGTTCATTCTAAAAAGTATAATATAAGAACCACACAATCATGGAAAAGATGTTACAGGTGTTACCTTAAAAAGACATGTAGCAGTCAAAGATGTTAACAAGCTTATGAATTAAACTTGAATAAATGGACATTATAAAGTAGAAATGTATAAACATTTAATTTACTAACAACATTTAGTGACTTATTAAAAAATTAGCACAGTAAGTGACCATGTGGTCCGAAGTATAAAAAATATATTAAATTATAACTTAAATGATGCAAAGAACTTTAACAGAAGAGTTTAATGTCATCATAACATGTGTTTGTGTTTTTAAAGACGAATTACATGCTGTGATTTTTTATTACGGGTAATCTCAAGTTAAAGTTGATTTCCTGTAATCGAATAAACTAACTATTGTTGACAATATTGGTAATATCATTTTAAAATCGTCTACTTTCGTCTATTTTAAAGTCGTCATTAAGTTCCAAATATATTTTATGTATTTGTGTACTGAAAAACGTGATAATATCATTCACCTTTATGTAAAGGCCAACAGTTCTTTTATTCTTTATGGCCGGTATTGACAGGTTTTACTGCATATATATTTTTTCTATATTACTGTCAATTATTACATTCCGTATCGTTCCAGGTCATTGGGCTGAATTGTGCCAGACTGGATTAAAGCAGAGTCCCATAGCCCTCTCAAAATCGATAGCAGAAGGAGCTGATTTTTCTCCATTTAGTTTATTTGGTTACGGAAGAGAAGCAGCCATTTTAGTAAAAAATAACGGCCATTCAGGTAAGGATGACAATATTTATTTCGCGCGTGTAACATTTTGTAACATTTCATAATACAAAATTAACATTTACTTTTTGAGAGACAAATTGAAACGGATTCTTCATTTATTTGTGCTTGATATTTCCCTATTTAATATCACTACATCGTTTTTTTTTTTAATTTTTTTTACTGTTTGCATTAGTGGGATTACACATTAGCATGCTCTATATTATTTACGCGACTAATAATTTTTTTTTCAAACTTCACAAAAGTATTGATTTTTGTGACGTGATTGGCAATATAAAAATGTTACTTTTACGCCTTGACATAAAAGTGAAGGGCTTTTACCCCTAGGCACAAAAGTGTAAAAGTAAAAAGCTCAAAAGCTTCCGCAGTGGACTTGCTAGCAACAATTTTTCGGTTACAGTCTTTACAGTACACAAAATATCTGGAACAATACGCGATGCCGGGACATTTTCGGAATCAGACATATTAACGATAATTTTTTTTTGTCATTTATTATAAAAATTATGAAAATTATCGAATAGTACCATAGAACATTATATCGTCGAGAGGCTCACATTCCAGAGGTGGAAATCCCAGCCATACAAAGTCAAGGATCAGAAGAATTTCCAGATATAACCGAAGAGGAAATTGAATCAGTGTTGAAAGGTATGAAGAACAGCAAATCACCTGGAGAAGATGGCATTGTAAGCGAAATGCTAAAATTAGGAGGCGAATGTGTCATCAAATCTTTAAAAACCCTTTATAATGCCTGCATCTTTGAAGGAGTTACACCAGAAAAATGGACTAGTGCCATTATGATACTATTGCACAAAAAAGAATATATGTAACAGAAGTTGAAAACATACCTATCAGCTTATTATCTCATTTATATAAGCTCGTTATCAGAATAATTACTAACAGACTGGAACCTAAGCTGGATTTCCACCAACCATTAGAGCAGGCCGGCTTTAGGAGTGGTTTTGGAATGAATGACCATCTACAAGTAATAAAATCCTTAATAGAGAAAGTAACAGAATACAACAAGCCATTGATATTAATATTTGTAGACTTTGAGAAAGCGTTTGACTCAGTTCAGCATAGCTCTATGTTAAGAGTTCTTACAGAGTGCAGTATTGATCATAGGTACACAACTCTTCTTCGGAATATATATGTTAGATCAGTAATCACGTATTTGACTTTTTAAAAAAGAACTTCATTTTTTAAAAATTAAATATTAAATAATAGTACAAAATTAATTTAAAATAACTACAATAACTGGACTGGTCAAAGTTGCAGCTAAGAGTAGCTCCGGCATCTGCAAATGGAAATTTATAGGTTTGGTATGAAGTGTTGAAACGCTGTTTCCATGAATATTGGCCAATGGTTCGTACAAAGTTCTTCTACTGCGTGCTCAGCGGTTTCTATGGGAATGGGATGATAAAATCCGAAGTCTGTGAACTTAAGCTAGTTCAAGGCTAATATTTTCTCATATAACATATATAATAGCGCAATAGCTGTAGTTAGAATGCATTATGGCAACACAAATACATTTCCCTTCGAGAGGGGTATTAGGCAAGGAGATACCATCTCTCCTAAGCTATTCACCGCTTTGTAGCAGAGTGCTATGAGAAACAATAATTGGGAGAATATTGAAGTCAACCTGAATGGAGAGTTTCTGAACAACCTGAGACTTGCAGACGATATAGTTTTTATTGCAGACCGGATAGATCATGCCTGCCAGCTTCTTCAAGATCTTCAGAGCTCGTGTACACGAGTTGGATTTTCCAAAACACAATATATGACCAATCTTGTACTGGGGAAAAATATCTCAACTAACGGCACGCAAATTGAACAGGTGTATAGCTATAAATACCTGGGCCACGAGATTAAATTAGGAAGAGATAATCAAACAACAGAGCAAAACAATAGAATAGGACTGGCATGGGCGGCTTACGGAAAACTGAGAGAAGCCTTTAGATCAGATACTACCATGTGCTTGAAAAGGAAAGTCTTTTATCAATGTGTACTCCTAGTTCTAACGTATGGAACAGAAACATTGACCCTTACCAAAAAAGTAATCAATAAAATACAAGTGGCACATAGGGCGATGGAGAGGTCCATGCTGAATATATCCCTCAGAGACAGAGTATCAAATACAATAGTTAGGAGAAAAACTGATGTTACTGACGCAGTTCAAAGGATTACAACATTGAAATGGAACTGGGCGGGGCATGTTGCCAGATTAAAAGATGGACCAAGAAAATTCTGGAATGAAGACCTAGACACGATGCTTATCGTAGTCGAGGACGTCCTCCAATAAGGTCGTCAGATGACATCAAGCGCGTTCACCACTGGATTCAGGGTGCTCAAGATAGAATGCATTGGAATTATTTACGGGAGGCCTATGTCCAGCGGTGCACTCAAAACGGCTGATAATGATGATGATGACTAGTAGAAGTAACCATAGTAAGATAAAAATTATTTGCGACGTTTGAACAAAAAAAACAGTATGTTCTATTCGGAGTAAAAATGACTTTTAATCATTAATCATTTTAATCATTTGTACTCCCAATAAAAGAATATACTTTTATTTATGCAGGGTGAGTTCTGGAAAACTTTACATTTTTCTACCTCGTATGGAGCTCCTTAAAAAATTTCACTTTGTATATGGTTTAAAAAAAATTTAATACGGCTTTTACAAATAATACAAATAGATAACAAAAATGGCGTATTTATTTTTATTTCCACGATTATTAAGTTTTTAATAAAAAAATTCAAGTATAAATTAAAATTTTTAGCAAATTGAACCACATATTTCAAAAATATATTTTTTCTTGTACAAGTAATAATTAACTAATAATTAACTTACTTATTGGTCTGATAAATAACCCTTTCTAAAATGAAGACAATGTTTATCCAGAAAATTCTTTTATATTACTCAAGGCAGTCTCCTATTTCCTTCTTTATCCCGTTCGAACAATGTAAATCTAGAAGCTCTGTAAAATACTTATTTGTTTCGTCAATTAGCTCTATATTCGAGGTGAATTAGTCATTTACGAGCAATCTCTTCAAATCTGGGAGCACACAATAATCAGGGGGCCGCATCATGAGACAAAATGCTAATCGATGCCCAACTTATGAATTTTTGCAGTTCTCATAAGGCTCTTGTGAGCCAGTGCATTTTTTGAAGGAACACCATTTTTTCTTCTGTATATGAGGCCGTTTTTCGCGGAGCTCCTAGAGTCTATACAAATAAAAACATAATGAAATAAATGATAAAAAAGATGTCAAAAATGTAAACAAGATATATTTTAATTTAATTTAAAAGCATACAAAAAGATAATCTCAGAACGCCTATGATGCTAAAATAACTGATTGTTTAAATGATAATCCAAAATCAATAAACAAAATATTAAGTTTTAAAATACATTTTACATGTAGTGACTTAGTGGGTCTGTCTTATGCTTTTATTGTTATTTTAATTGTGACGTTTAATGTATACTTATTAGCAGCGAACTTTTACATGCTTCATCATCATCATCTTTCTCGACAATCCTCTGTGGATCTTGGCCTACTCTAAGATTCGTCGCCATTCTGTTCGGTTTTTGGCAATATGTTGCCATCTTCTGATTTTTAATATTCGTAAGTCGGTTTCCACTCCATCTAACCACCTAATTCGCGGTCGGCCTTTGCTTCTTTTTCCTACAGGTATTCCTGTGGTTAGCTTTTTAGCAATCGTATTTTCTGGCATTTGTATTATGTGTCCAAGACTATGTTTTACATGCTTGGTAAGTCTAAAGTTTTTCTTTTAAACCTTATAATGTCTTTGATAAAATGTTTTTTAGTCAATATTATTTCTTGAAAAAGGCATGGATTTCCTGCCGAAGCATTGAAAAAAGTAAATAAAAATGTCTTAATAGCATGACTATTTTTTATGAATCTAAGCCCATGAAAGTCTACTAAATATATATATATATATATTATATATATATATATATATATATATATATATATAAAGGGTCAAGAACTAAACTCAAACTATTTCTGTTTTATAGTCGTGTCCAACTTTCACAGCCATACAGCAAAACAGAGAAAACGTAACATCTGATCATTCGAATTTTGAGCTCTAGACTAAGGTTTAATCTTATAAAAAATGTTTTCATGTTCATGAGTGTTTTTTTCGCTTGTTCGATTCTTTATAGGATTTATTTTTTTATGTTATATTGGTTGTTGATATTTGCTCCCAAATATTTTATGGAAGTTACCTATTCTATTATTTGTCGCGTGCTGTACAAATGTACGTTTGTTGGTATGTTTAAAAATACTGTAATTGTAGTTTTGGAAACATTTAGATGTAAACCGAACAGTTCACTATAATTAACTACCGCGTTTATTATATTTTGTAATTCTTGTGCGTCGCTTGCTATTAGGTATCATCAGCGTACCTGAGGTTGTTTATGCTGGTTCCGTTAATCTTGATTCCACCTTGGACCTCGTCTAATGCTTTTCTGAATAGATATTCGAAATATAGATTGAATAATAGTGGTGATGAGACGTAACAGTGTCGCACTCCTCGTTAAATTCGTGTATTTTCGGGTGTTGTGTGCTCTATTTAAATTGTTGCCGTTTGGTGCCAATATAGTTCTGAGATAATTCTTAAGTCGTGTTCGTCAGTTCTAGTTATTCTCAGAATTTCGATCTTCTTTTGATAGTTAACGCAGTCAAATGCTTTTCGATAATCAATAAAACATTCACATTCATCTACATTCAGGTCTATGCGTCGCTGAGTCCAACCCAAAGGCATTGGACTTTTTTTTGGAATATTACCAATGTTGATTTTAGCCAGTCTGATAGTAGGTGAAGTTGAACGGGTTCTTAATTACTCGTAAGAATGCGATAAAAAAGAACCATTAGACTTAGTTTTCTATTATATATTTTTTATTCATATCATTTTGAACGAATTTATCATTTTCTTAATATTATTTCTATTTTATTATTAATTTATTATCGACCTTTCCGCCACCACAAAACTTATTACTATTAATTATCTTTCTTGGTAATTCTTGGTAAGATAAATTTGTTGGAATTTTATCTTATCAAGAAACTAATTTTTAATTTAGACACTTGGTATCTTGGAAACTAATAATTTTCATATGAGTTTTCCAGCCTCGAAATCGAAAGTGTGTATTTTCGCTTTTTTGAGATTTTAAATTGTATATAACTTGAAAACTATCTGCTTGAAAACTAGAGAAAAATGACAACAGACTTTTTTTTGTTTTAAAATAGCCCAAGCAATCTAAAAAAATGTTTCTCAGTGCAATAACTGGTTATTTTTTAAATTTACAAGGAAGATTCCTGTAGTTGGCTGTATACCATATTCGCTCCGTGCGTGACTGACGCGACACCTACCGCCTTCATCTGACAGTTTTGGACCTCCCAATTTTCAGGTGAAACATATGACATATGTTTAACATTACTAAATACATGCGAAATTGACAATTATTAATAATTGGTTTTTTAATTATATGTTTTCAGTTTATGTACAAAATAAATGTAGTATTGAAAACTGGGTTTCTCAAAATTCATCATAATATATTTTGAACCCCAAACGGAAAAGAAAGGGAAAGATCTAGTACTGGTAAATCAAGTTTTTCACGTAAAAGAGCATATAATTAAAAACAATAATAGTAAAAGTTATGATATAAAAGCTAAAGTCATCAGGCACTCTGCAGTTAGCTTGAAGCCTTAAGAAATATCATTTAAGGTAAATTATTTAAATTTTTCTTATTTCAATTGCATAAAAACGAAATTATGTGATATTTACTTATTCATATTAATAGCACGAATCCATTTTTTTCTTTTCTCTAATTTACTTCTATGTATACCTATATAAACTACACTCACTATTTTTGCTAATAGTGGCACAATTAAATACGCAACATAAATTTGCACACACAAAATTTTTATAAAGTTTCATAAAATACAGTTTCATAAAATTTATGCGTAAAAAGATAGGTCCAATTTTGTCATATTTCGCCGCTACGCACGCTGGCATCGTTTCAAGGTACCCCTACCATGATCAGGCACGAAGCGAATACCTATCACAAAAATTTTATTTAAAAATTTCTTTATAAAAGCTAAAATAAAGGTATAATACAAAATTAATATACCTTTTATAAAGAAATGTTAATTTTTGAAGTTTGTTTAAAAAAATTGTTTAAACAATTTCTGCCAAAAATTTTGTCCCGTAAGCTTCTAATTTGTTTAAAAGGGACATTTTTAATTAGGAATCCGTAAAGAAACCGAATCAGGAACATTTTTTCTACGCGATGGTCCTCACAACCTGGACTATAATACTTTTAAAGCCATTTAGAACCCTTTTTTTCATACGACATTTTGTTTTTGTTGATAATTAATGTCAATATTAACAAAATATATCAACGCCGTACAGAAATTTTTGATCCCATTTATCAGAGGGAAAGCAATTTTACACTCATAAGCACATGTACCGGAAAAATGTACAGCATATCCAAAAATGTTATTATTTCATGCAACTACATTTAAATCAGTGAGTTTTATATTGGCTTAAATGACCTTATTTGGACTACTTAAAAATCAAGGGTTGCGCCCTAGATTTCCCACCCCTGTATCACGCGATATGTACGGCACTCCATAAAAAGTAATCTAAATAACGATCCGAAACTATGTGTATGAATGCTGTACTGTATCAAATTACAGAAAATGGTAAAATATTGTCTACTGGTTTGGCTACTGGTACCAATATTTTTGTACGGCATTACGACATGTTTGACCAAAATACCCCCCACCCCTCTGAGTGGTAAGTCTAGGTACCTTACCTGTGTAGCCACCTCTACCTATAAAAATTGACCATATAGTTTCTAAAGTTATTATTGCATATTGTATTAAAACATAATGATGGTATTAGATTTTTATTTCGATACAGGGCACCCGCAAGCCGCTTAAATGTATTTTAACCTCTTTAGGTCTTATCAGAACGACATATGCAGAATTTTTACCGTGATGAACGGCATGTGTGAATGCATATTGTTGATTCTATTGTCGACTAATTCATTAATCTGTCTGCTTTGCAAGTTTTAGAAAGCACAGTGGTAAAAAATCTTAGGATTCCTAGTTTTTTGGTTTAAATATGATTCATGCTGAGTCAAACGGTCCCTTAAAAATGCTTTATGGGCTTGTAGACTATTATATTAGGATTTTTTTATTGGCTCTTGTTTTCTTCAACTTTCACTTTGAATGTATCTTTCAAAAAGAAAATTTCACTTTATTCTTTTTTTTTGTCAGAAAAGTGAAAGTTGAAAAAATAGGCGTTTTTAAATACAATGTGGAGACATTTATACTCTATTTTTTGCAACTATTTTAATAAACATCTTATTATCTCATTTTAAACATTTATTGACTTATTGATTTATTTCTGAGGCATCCATATGTCACAAAGTACTTGTATGTCTAATTAAGTTTTGGAAAAGAATTATTTATTTTATTTTATTAATTAACCTTATTTTTCTATTATTCCTAAAATAAAAGAAAAAAAATAATATGAAATTTATTTTATATTTCAGCGGAAGTTCGGCTGAAAGTACGTGATCCAATACCAGAAATAAGTGGAGGGGGGCTGCCAGATGTTTTTCAATTGGACCATCTTCACTTTCATTGGAAATCGGAACATACTATCGATCGCTACAGGTGATATATAATAATACCTATATATATATATATATATATATATATATATATATATATATATATAAGAGTAAGAAAAAAGAAGTACTTGTGACTCGTTTGGAAAAAATATAACACTGTTTTTGATGGGTTGGAGTCAATAAAAGGGGCTATTTGTTGACTATTTTTTACTCGAGCTTTCAATTGTGATTACAATTTTTATCAAGAGCTTCTAAAAAATACAAAATGTCTTACAAAGTTGAACTAGAAATAAAAAATTTTTTGTTAACTCACCAAATAAAATTAGTTTTTTATATAAAACTACTGCTTACATAATAAATACAAAAAATATTAATAAAAAAATGTCTTATTCTAAAAAATGTTTCTCTGAAAAATTTAGATGAAGTTTCTTAAGAAAAAAAAAATTGAAATTATAAACAAATATAGAATAGCTACAACCAGCCTAAAACGTCATAAATACTAACTTAAAAATTTTTATTTTTGACATATTGTCAAAAATAAAATTTTGTTTAAAAAATTCTTCTTTGTTTAGTAACAAAAAAGAAGAAGATTTATTCACCATTGATAGATGCCCGGAAAAATGTAACAAATACATGGAAAATTCAAAATGTGATATTTTACTGACTGCATAAATTAAATAGAAATTATATAATTATAAATTTTGCTTAAATTTTGAATTTCTGACCTTTTGTTTAAATTATTATCACTTTTGCTAATACAAACCATTTCCAAAAAAGTTCTTTTAAATTTATTACTTTCATTACATAAAATTTTAATATTATCAAAATATTATTATAGACCATATTATGGATTTTGATAATATTAAAATTTTATGTAATGAAAGTAATAAATTTAAAAGAACTTTTTTGGAAATGGTTTGTATTAGCAAAAGTGATAATAATTTAAACAAAAGGTCAGAAATTCAAAATTTAAGCAAAATTTATAATTATATAATTTCTATTTAATTTATGCAGTCAGTAAAATATCACATTTTGAATTTTCCATGTATTTGTTACATTTTTCCGGGCATCTATCAATGGTGAATAAATCTTCTTCTTTTTTGTTACTAAACAAAGAAGAATTTTTTAAACAAAATTTTATTTTTGACAATATGTCAAAAATAAAAATTTTTAAGTTAGTATTTATGACGTTTTAGGCTGGTTGTAGCTATTCTATATTTGTTTATAATTTCAATTTTTTTTTTCTTAAGAAACTTCATCTAAATTTTTCAGAGAAACATTTTTTAGAATAAGACATTTTTTTATTAATATTTTTTGTATTTATTATGTAAGCAGTAGTTTTATATAAAAAACTAATTTTATTTGGTGAGTTAACAAAAAATTTTTTATTTCTAGTTCAACTTTGTAAGACATTTTGTATTTTTTAGAAGCTCTTGATAAAAATTGTAATCACAATTGAAAGCTCGAGTAAAAAATAGTCAACAAATAGCCCCTTTTATTGACTCCAACCCATCAAAAACAGTGTTATATATATATATAATATATATATATATATATATATATATATATATATATATATATATATATATATATATATATATATATATATATATACAAACAAGATAGTTTATTAGGGTTGCAGTCAGAATATTGGCCAGGATGTTAAAAAAACACTCTTTTGACTTTTTGTCGAGCTTTCGGAATGGTTTTATTCCTTTTTCAAGACATAGTCGTTGAGATTATTTTTGTAAGCATTGAACACTCAACATTTATAACACACATTAAAATATACAATTATGGACATAATACATCATAAAATTTTTAAAATTTGTTGTAAAAATAGTAAAACTTGATAGATGGCATGTTTTACTGGTGTATATTAACTCATACAGAGAATGGAAAGAAAAAACAGTGTAATTAATATGTAATTAGGTGTAATTGATGTTATCTTTCTTTAGGTACAAGAAATACTAGAGGCCCTTTTTAGGTGACTATACTTTTTAAACCTGTAAAAAAGGGCCTCTAGTATTTCTTGTACCTAAAGAAAGATAACATCAATTACACCTAATTACATATTAATTACACTGTTTTTTCTTTCCATTCTCTGTATGAGTTAATATACACCAGTAAAAACATGCCATCTATCAAGTTTTACTATTTTTACAACAAATTTTAAAAATTTTATGATGTATTATGTCCATAATTGTATATTTTAATGTGTGGTATAAATGTTGAGTGTCAATGCTTACAAAAATAATCTCAACGACTGGTAAGTTACACTGAAGAATTGTGATATTTTTAAATATTTACATAATTGTCTTTTACAGTGTCTTGAAAAAGGAATAAAACCATTCCGAAAGCTCGACAAAAAGTCAAAAGAGTGTTTTTTTTTTAACATCCCGGCCAATATTCTGACTGCAACCCTAATAAACTATCTTGTTTGTTTATATCGACAGTCACTAATATCCAGTATTTCTTTATATATATAATATATATATATATATATATATATATATGTATATATATATATATATATATATATATATATATATATATATATATGTATATATAAATATATATATATATATATATATATATATATATATAAGTATATATATATATATATATATATATATATATATAATATATATATATATATATATATATATGTATACAAGAAATACTGGATATTAGTGACTGTCGATATAAACAAACAACACAGTTTATTTGGGTTGCAGTCAGTTTATTAAAATAAACATTATAGAAGTCTTCAGGGACTTTCAGCTCTAGGTAATAATATATTGTTTCATTCTGCGTTTAAGTTTTTTAAAAATATTTATTAGTTTTCTCAGGATTCGAAAAAAATTAATGCATTTAAAAAGTATTGGCCCGAAATTTTGCGCCTACGCTCTTAACAATGAAAACGTCAACGAGTTACAACTTCCCACCTCTACTACTCGTTACCCTACTTTGATTCGGTGCTTTGACCAGACAGACGTTGCCAAATAATAATTGTGTATGAAGATTTTTTAATGTAACGTTATTGTATGCAATTGTATGCATTATTTCATATTGGGAATAAAGCACAATGTGACTTTAAAATAAGCTTATTTTGATATTTAGATTTTTAATTCGGAAATCGTACTTAAAAACGAAACATTAATCAATTTTATTAAACTGTTGTAACTCGTTGACGTTTTTATCGTTAAGAGCGTAGGCGCAAAATTTCGGGCAAATGCTTTTGAATGCTTTCATTTTTTTCGAATCCTAAGAAAACTAATGAATATTTCGGAAAAATTTAAAAGCACAATGAAACAATACATTATTGTGGAGAGCCTAAAGTCCCTAATACTTCTATAATGTTTATTTTAATAAGTTACAGGGGTGAAAAAAAAAAACAGAAAATTTAGTGTGATTTTTAATTTCAATTATCTCTTTCAAAAAACTTTTTGTTTATTCTAAAGGACTTTCGGCCCTCGGTAATAATGTAATCTTTCATTTTGCATTTAAATTATTAACAAAATATTTGTTAGTTTTTTTCAGTATTCCAAAAAAGAATGAATGCATTTAAAAAGCATTGGCCTGAAATTTTCCGTCTACGCTCTTAATGCAACTAAAGCAATTTTCGTAAACAAGTAACTATGATTGTTTAAAAGTAGTTTTAAAAGAGAGTACCTACATAAACAAATATAATGGCTATTATCGTTTATGTGTATATTTATTGAAGTGAAAGAAACTAATGATATATTTATTATAACTTGAAAAATAAAAAAAAACAATACAAATAGTAAATCGTACTTACATTTACATTACAAGTTATTATTTAATCGCGAATCTTGTAAATTGATATTTAAAAACATACGTTTTTCTACTTTACTTCTTGTTAACCGTTTCCTTTTTTATTTAAAATTAAACCAGATTTTGAACATGTGTTCACATTTACAATACTTTATGAATATAGTGGTTAAATTAGGATATACATGGCGATAGTTTTTCCACTGTTGTAATGGACTCTCGATATAGGTGTACGTTTAGATGAGTCATCTCCAATTAATTGATCAAAAATACACCATGGACTTAAGTCATCTTTATCAGTTTCTTTTTCTTGTACTGGTTGATTTTCAATAGTACAATCTTCTTGTTCTTTAAATATAGAAGTAACCAGCTTCTTAACTCTCTCATTTGTTTTTTTAGCTTCATTTTTATCAGATAAACCCTTCACTTTAAATCGTGAATCCATAAATGTACATAATGACAATGTGCTACTCTGTTCTATTCCTCTAAATCTTTTTGCTAAACCCGATATCAGTAATTGTACCACGTCGGATACTATGGATGCAAGGTTACCGTTTGCTAAAATTTTATTGCAATATTCTTGCAGACAGCGTACCATAACAATCACTGAACTACCCTTCAAGTATTTTTTGGCCACTCATTGTACTTGTTATTTCTTTAAACGGCCGTAAAATTTGGGAAAGTTGAGAACAAATAATCCAGTGTTCTTTATTTAGATTTGGTCTAAGTCTGTATTAACTAATACCAATGATAAACGGATTGCCTCTTCTAACTCGGTCATTCTTTTTAACATGTAATAGTTGAAGTTCTATCTAGTTTTCACGTCTCGGATTGGCCGTTTGGGAACTTTGTCATGTTGTAATTGATACTTTAAAAGCCTTTCTGAAGATAAGGTACTTTTTTTGAAATGTGTTTTTTTGCCGAATTGTCGAAAAAAGGACTTTTTATTTTATCTATTTGTACACGACATCATTTAAGTGCGTCCTTTACCAATAAATTTAACGTATGAGCAAAACAATTAAATGTTTTCATTCCAAAACATTTTTAATAGCTTTGACCATATTTGAGGCATTATCAGTTACTACAAATCTACTTTTCCTTTTAGACCCCACTGATTTCACTAATTTCAGAAGCGATGTTTTCTGAATTATGGTTTCCAGAAAATGGCAGCAGTCTAATAAAACCGTTTTAAATTCTAAATTTTCTATTAAATATTGTCGTGTTAATGCGATGTAACTCTCAGTTACTCCATATGTCCAGAGGTCAGTAGTAATACAGATATTTTCTACTTCTTTAACAACTTCTGATCTAATAATTTGCTCAGTTTTGATATAACATTCCTGAAGTAATGAACCTAACAAAATTTTTCTTGTTGGCGGTTTACATCCGGGAATCCACCCTGCAAACTTTTTAAAAGCTCGTTCTTCAACCATGGAAAACGGATGAAATGAGTATTTGCATAAAGTAAATCTTGAAAATCAACCAGTACAAGAAAAAAAAAACTAATAAAGATGACTTAAGTCCATGGTGTATTTTTGATGAATTAATTGGACATAACTCATCTAAACATACACCTGTATTGAGAGATATAAAAGTAGTCGACGATGTATTTGTCTGATGATATATTACCCACAAAAAATTTCGAACCTAGATTGGAACTGTCCATTACCGTGGTGAAAAATCATCGCCATGTATATGCTAACTTAACCACTATATTCATAAAATATTGTAGTATTGTAAAAAAATTTTCCTTGTGAACACATGTCAATTTAGACGATTCGCGATTTAATAATGTGTAATGTAAATGTAAGTACTATTTACTATTTCTATTATTTAATTTATTTTTCAAGTTATAATAAATATATCCTTCGTTAGTTGCTTTCACTTCAATACTTATACACATAAACGATAATAGTCAATATGTTTGTGTACTCACTAATTTGAATACAGATAAATAATCAACTAAAACTTAGTTGCTGTTTACGAAAAACGGTTCCGATAAAAATTAAAAAAAACTAGAGGACCCACCATTAGTTTCTTAGCTATATTAGGATCGAAACCAGAGAATATGTAAAATATCTCTGATCGGAACTAATCGTCTCACTAATGGGCAATGGGCGTCAATAAGATTTATGGAGGGGAGATCAAGGGGAAATATAGTTATCTTTGTCTATTCGCTGAAAATATGATTTTATATCTGTGTTAGATATCCTGTTAAATTTTACCATACCGACAATAAACTTTTACCTACACTATATATATATATATATATACATATATATATATATATATATATATATATATATATATATATATATATATATATATATATCTATACAGACCTCATAATATATTGTTTCACTTTCTTTTTTTTTATTTTAGATTTCCTTTGGAATTGCATCTTGTTCACTATGCTAAAAGGTGGGGTAATTTTCAAGAAGGAGAAAAGCATCCTGGTGGGATAGCTGTGTTTGCTGTTTTATTTGATGTAAGTTATTTGGGGTAGCCGTCTTTTCATTCCCTGTTTTTTGAAATAATTATAAAATTGTAGTTGTATTTATTAGGAGGCATTAATTATTGAGAATTAATCTTTATTAGAAAATTGTTTTTATAATAAGTCAATATTTTAGAATGAAAACTTGTCATGTTGTACTTCTTTATATCATATGTAATAAAAAAAGATCTTAATATTAAACCATGTAAAAGGCAATACTAAACAGAACAAAAAATTGAACATTCATATTAGTACAATGGCGATCACAAGAATTGTTAAAATAGCAAGGTACAAATGACCAAGTGGTAGAAGTGTCGGCCGACCGGGCAAGAGATGATGTGATAATTTTCCATGAAGGCAACCACCCGTCGATTAACAAGCACAATTACTTACAAAAAAAAAAAAGAAAAATAATATAAAATATTAAATCTTAAAGACAAATAGATTAGAAGAAAAAATAACAGAAAACAGAACAACGGATATTGACAATGGAAGTCACAGGAAGACACAGGAATGAAAAAAATAAAGTGTGTATATTAACAGCATTAGCACAAGAACTTTGAACACAAAAGATTAAAATATAGAAAAAAACACCAGTATACATACAGTTTACATATACCTACAAGATATATCGAAGTACACATGATGTAAGGAGCATAGTGAATTCATCGACACAACAGAAGAACACCGAGGAAGATTTACAAAGAATATTAAACACAAATTCTTGTCATACAGTCAGAAAGGAATGTGATAACTATTACGTTCAATTAACCCTTTGGTTCCTAAAACCTTTTAAAATCAAAGATTAAGATAAAAGAAAAGAATAAGATAAAGAAAGAAAGATATTGAGTCAGCAGCACAAGATGAAATAGGAACAGAAACTTGTACACGAAAAAATTACTGGTTTGACGATGAATGCAAAGACGCAACACAGAAAAAAAATAAAGCTTATGCAAAAATGCTTACCCGCCGGACTAGAACAAGTGTAGAGAATTACCAGACAAAGAGAAGAGAAGAAAAGAAAATACACAGAATGAAGAAACGAAACCACTTAAAAAAGGAACTTCAATATATAGAAAACCTCAACAGAGAGAAAGAATTCAGAACATTCTATAAGAAAGTTAACATCACCAGAAGAGAATTCAAGGCAAACACAAATCAATGTAGAAGTTTGAATGGCGATCTATTAACAACAAGAACAGACGTACTAAATCGGTGGACGGAATATTTTAACCAAATACTTAATATAGAGGAAGAAGAAAACCCAGAAGACGAAAGCTGTGAGGTAAGCGGAGCAGACGAGAGGGAGGAGAACCCACCAACGATCCTGGAAGTTAAAGACGCTGTCAATAAACTAGCCAGAAACAAATCACCCGGAATAGATAATCTTCCAGCGGAATTATATAAAGAAGGTGGCCACGATATCACAATAGCGCTACAGCAGCTTATAAAAGAAATATGGATACAGAAGTCCCTCTCCTGTGATTGGAATATTGGAATACTTTGCACCATACACAAAAAGGGAGATATCTTTGAATGCTCTAACTATCGAGGAATTACGCTCCTAAATGCAGCGTATAAAATATTCTCCAATATACTATGCCATCGTATGGCACCGTATGCAGAGCAAATAATAGGACAATACCAGGCTGGTTTCAGAGGTGGTAAATCAACAATTCATCAGATTTTAACCCTGAGACAAATTCTAGAGAAAACACTGGAATATGGTGTAGACACGCACCACATATTTATAGACTACAAGGCAGCCTACGACTCTGTAAATAGAAGAGAATTGTTTAGAGCAATGATGGACCTGGGAGTACCAAATCAGTTAAGTTTAACCAAACTAACCCTTGAAAAAGTTGAATGTAGAGTACGAATCCAGGGGGAACTCTCTGAACCTTTTAATACAAATAACGGGCTACGTCAGGGAGACTCACTCTCCTGTATACTATTCAATATAGCTCTGGAAAAAGTAATACGTACGTCACAAATCACAACTACCGGTTCAATATATAACAAATCTGTGCAAATCCTAGCATATGCTGATGATATCAATATTGTTGGGAGAACGGAAAACGCAGCACGAGAGGCGTATGCAGCACTAAAGGAAGCGGCTACAAAAATGGGTTTAATAATAAACATTAATAAAACGAAATACATGAAAGTAGGTTCGCAACCACAAATACGACGACCACTTGTTATAGAAAACGACGTCATCGAAGCAGTTAACGAATTTGTATACCTGGGAACGCTCGTCAATACTGAAAATGACATTACCGCAGAGATAAACCGCAGAATTTGCACGGCTAATAGATGCTATTTTGGGCTTAATCTCCTTTTTAAATCTACAGCTATATCAAGAAATACAAAAGTAAAACTCTACAAAACAATAATACGCCCAGTCCTAACATATGGTTCAGAAACCTGGACTTTAACAAAAAGCAATGAAAACATGTTAGGATATTTCGAAAGAAAAATACTGAGGCGAATCTATGGAGCGGTAAATGAAAATGGTGTCTGAAAAAGACGAGACAACTTCGAACTCTATAGAATATACCAGGAACCAGATATCGTAAAACACATTAAGATAGGACGTCTGAGGTGGGTAGGCCATGTAATGCGGATGGAGAAAACCGACCCAGCTAGAGAAACGCTCCTTGATAGACCTATTGGTCAAAGAAAAAGAGGAAGACCCAGAACAAGATTCCTAGATAACATAGACCAAGATATGAGAAATATGGAAATACGTGCTTGGCGAGGAAGGCGATGGATAGGACGACTGGAGAGAATCTTGGGAGCTAGGACCCACACAGGGTTGTAAAGCCAAAATGATGATGATGATGATTGAGATAAAAATGAAATAATCTTACCTATTGGGTTCCTTAAAGACAAAAAAGTGAAAAATATTAATTTTTTTACGTATTTTTATAATGGGCTATGGTTTCGACATGATACCACTGGAAAACTAGAGATTTTTTTAAGCAAATAAAAATCTGATAACTAAAAATAATACTATAAAACGTAGGTTACATTTTATGATACAATGAAAAACACTTCATCTCACACTCCCACCTGGTTCTGTGAGGATCCTTACTAGTGCCACAAAAAGCACGTCAGTGTCGTCACATAGACATTCAATGCATATTGTATATTTACAATACATATATCTATAAAATGCCACAAAATTCGGTGCACCAGTTCTTTAATTGAGGTCCATTTCATACAAAATTTTAGCATATCTGTTTTGTCAACATAGCCTATATGTTGGTTATATTCTTTGAGCATCGTTGAACAGGCCACGACTTGTGAATTTATGCTCTTGCTTGCGAGCTTGCGAGAAACAGTTGCTTCTTCTAAAGGGTTTTGATGATTTCCCAAAAAAATGTACTATTTTCCGATCTCTTAACTTTACAAAAACCAGTTCATCTTTGCTGACCCTCCAGTCCGATTGTCCTTGGATGTATAATTTTTTGTCAGATGCTAAGTCTTTTGGGACACCTTTTTGGTTAGTTCTAACAGTACCGCACAAATAATTACATTTTGTTTGAAGCGTTTTTTGTAAGGGTAAGCATGTTCATTCTCGTCAGGTTAAACCCAAACTTTATAACCCCTCTTGATGGGTTTGAGAGGCATAAATTGCTTTACACAACTGCGACCATTGAAATGAATCCTCGATTTGTCTATGAATTAATGTTTTTTGAAGGGCTAGATGAAGAACGGCGAGTCAAGACCAAGCATCACCAAATTATCTGTTAAATGCACGTTTCCTAGATGCCAAGCAAACCGATCTCTAGACACAGCTGAAATTATGTAGTGATCTCGTAATTCCACTCTAGATGAACCATTGGGGCACCATTTGTCTGTAGAAGTAATTTTGGAAGATGAAATAAGTGTTGGACATAGAATGTTTAATGAGAGATAAGTGGTGTTGCTGGATACAGTATTTAGTTTTCAGAATGTTTAGAGTTTCGTCTATAGGAATGTTTATAAAGAGTAAAGCGATACCTAAACTTGCTAGAACGTCTGACTGTGAGATAGGGTATTGTTTGCAAAGTTCGATAAAATGAAAAGAATTTTTTCCGAAAGATGAAGCATTTTCGGTGAGAGGTTGTAGGGTTTTGGCCAAATACTTGGCCAATGGTTGTGTAGGGGGCAGTTGTATGCACTAATAATGGGACGTAGAGGAATATCGAGTTTGTGAATTTTAGGTAGGCCATATATTGTTGGTGTTCTGGAAGACTTTTCACAAGGAATTAGAGATTGTTTAATGCCAACAGGAAGCAAGGTTTTATTGATAATGGCTTTTGTTGTTTTTATTAGATAGGTTGTTGGATTATTAGGAATTTGTCTGTAGTCTGAATTATTAATATGATTTGGGAGTTTGAACAATTGAAGAATAACTAGTTTTGAATTTGACTGAAGTTCTTTCAGGGCCTTTTTTCGGATTAGCTAATGATCGGAGTAGGGGGCTTTGAGTTCTAAGAACTCTAGCGATGTATTTTCTAGTTATTTCAGCATCTTGAGAAGGTAAACTGAAGATGGCTTCTTAAGTTTGATAGATGATTGTCTCAATTGGATGTGACTTGGGGCAACAAAGCAATTAAAACCTTTTGCAAAAGCTTGGCTGGTGATGGTCGAAATAGGGGAATAAAAAAGGTGCACCTTCTTTTCAGTGTAGTGAGTTTCACAAAAGTGTCCCATAATATAGGATGTTAAGCATTAAAGATTACGATATAGTGTTCGTAAAGCATTTGGAAGATAGAAGAAGAAGAAAAAGTATGGGTTATTGGAGTTTTAAAAATTTGAGAATAAATTTATGGTTTCGGTAGGCATTAATGAATATTAAATCACAAAGAAGACGATTTTTATGTAGCAGTAGATTGCTATATAATTTAGTGAGTAAAATTCCCTTAATAAAATATTAACGCCAACTTCCGCGCCAATCCTCGCGCCAATATCTACGTCAACCTCCACGTCAACCTCCACCCAAACCATGTCATCATCGACGGTATAAATGAACTCAGCTGTTACCAGTAGCAGTAATGCATTAAATAATGATCTCGGCGCTGTGATGGTGTCTACGAGATACCTTGTTCCAGTTGCCCACGTACATACATCGGACAGACAAACCGACGAATCCATAACGAACATTCTATATCAGTCAAAAATTCCGATACTACTTCAGCCCTAGCCCAACATCACATTCAAACAGGCCACAAAATAGACTTCGAAAAAGCAAAAACCATCGCCCCCTCCGCTCCTTTAAATCAAGAATCATTCGTGAAGCCATCGAAATCGAAAAACGGCCTAACAGCTTAAATACGCGCGAAGACGCAAAACGATTGCCGCCAACATGGCGACCCCTACTTCAGCGACCTCCCGCCCACACCGTTCAGGCCTCGTCAGTTCTGACCACGTCAGCCCATACCGTTCCCACGCGTACAGCGAGTATAAAAGCAGCGTCACAGTGTATATATATACATATATATATATATATATATATATATATATATATATATATATATATATATATATATATATATATATATATATATATATATATATATATATATATGTATATATATATACATATATATATATATATAATATATATATATATATATATATATATTATATATATATATATATGTATATATATATACATATATATATATATATATATATATATATATATATATATATATATATATATAAATATATATAAATAAAAGAAAGACAAAGTAGTCCAAAATTTTTTATGACTAGTTTGGAAAAAAAATACTTTTTTCTCTCTCTGAATAAAAGATCTGAGATCCAGAATCTTAGCAAAATTTACAATTTTATTTTGACTTTTGACTAGGGTCTTCTGCATCTCAGAGTGTTTCCTGTCTTGTTCCTTAAATTCCTTTATTAATTGCTATAATTATCATGATTAACTTCAGTTATTATTCAGATGGTTCATTTTGTTTTGGTTGTTTGTTTTTTCTAAACCTACTTACTAAATACTATTTTCTTTTTATTGTTTGACATAATGAACTTTTTTAAATTTCCCTCTCAATTTAAAGTTGGGAATATGGTTGGTAGTACTTAAAATCACAAACGGTATTTTGTTAGACATCAGTTTGAAAGTTTGTTTTTTGTAGTTACATCGAACTATTTAAACAACAATAGTTCCTCCTACTACCTCTTTCTGTTCGTGAGATGTGACTGAATTCAAACCTGCGAAGACGACTGTTTTTTGTCAAACATGTCGTCTTATTTTTTACATTTTAAAACTTTGTAACATCTTTAATTTTTAAGTTATTTTAAAATTTTTAACAGTTTTAATACCTTCAGTAATTCAGATCACATTATGTTATTTAACGTTGTGTTTTATATATAAAGTTTTTATAGGCCAATCAAGTTAGGTTTTTACTCATCACAAGTGTATAGACGGGTTTGACAGTTGAAATAAGTAGTATGAGATATTACAAAAAGACTCTCATCTAGGGATTCATGAATTTTTTAGTGGAAATATTTTTAAATAAACAATTAAAATGTCAATATCATTATTTTGCTCATAACTTATAAACTTGTCTATTTAGAGATTTGACGTCTACAGACAAGTTGTTGAGAAAAAAAAATACACAAAATGAGATATACTAAATTAAAATCGGTTAATAAACAAAAAAGTTATTGCATAATAACCAAGCAAAACCACTGTTTTTGATTATTGTTAATTACTCTTTTATTAATCAATAAAATTTATTTAAATGTATCTGAACTTAAAGACCTTATCGTGTTCGAAGTGTGTGCGAAAGATAGGCTAGATCCGTCGAATAGTTTTTGCACAATTTAATTTGTTTATAAGATTTTTTGAAAAATGCACAAATTTCTAAGGCCGGTCCAGATAATTTGACTGAATGGATCTTAAAAATCCGGGGCTTATTTTCTTTGTTGAGACATATATTAATATCCTATGGAAAAAAAAGTTAAAAAAAATTACGTTTATGTACACAAAATGATTTAACAATAAATAGCACTTTTTAAGCTTATAAACATTTACAATAACTCCGTACTATTTAGTTTAAATTAAATGGCAATAAAATATTCGGAAAGCTGGTTAAAAAACACAACTTAAAAAAAAAGAAAAAGGTCCTGCGACCATTAGGAGCCGAGTTAGTCCTTTTTTTTTTAAATCACTGTTACGTCAATTAACAACATTAAGGGCTGAAATTAACCAATCTTTTAGAAGAAAAGTCAAAGTTTTTAACAAAATATTTAGCAAACAAAATAATTGAAAATTGATTAAACAGGAGTGTTGTAAACCAAGAGTACTTTGCGTTCCGACTCAAATGGAAGCAGTGGGGATTGCCGATTGCACTCAAGCCGCGCTCTAAAAAAAGTCGAGCGTCGAGCGCACGTCGAAAGCGGTACAACTCATTTTCCTGCGACTATACAACCGGTTTGTTGTATTGAAATATTTAGTGTTTTGTTTTATTTAATAATTGTTACAAATAATTAATGGTACGTAAAATTCATCTGAATATTAAAAAAAACTACGTGTTCTGATATATATTAATATAAACACATGGTTGTACCACGTTGTCTGAATAATATACGGTTAACTTTGAATATAATATTATTTTACTATTATAATGTACTAATATTTATGAAATTATTAATGAAGAAGAAAACGATACAACAGATGAACAAGAGATAATTGATGAAATGTATTTAACTGGGTTTGATGAGAATAGCGACAATGAAAATGAAATGATTTATGAAAGTTATAATACAAGTGAAATTGAAGATGAAAGTGAAGATGAATGTTTACATAGTAGTAGCAGTGACGATATAGAAATTAAGCGTAGAAAATTACAGTAAATTAAATTATTTTAAAAAATCACTACACAAAATTTCAACTTCTGTAATAACATAAAATTAATTTATTATTTCATTAATAAATTTTTAGTAAACATTATTCAAAATGTTCATTTACTTATAACAGTTATTTAATATAATCATATTTGAAATAAATAAATAGAAAAATAACAATAAAAAGACGACTCAAGAAAAAGTTTGTACATTCCGTAGTCATTAGCTGCTTTGTTTTGAATAATTTTGCAATGAAAGTACGTTAAATGTTATTATTTTAACGTTGTACCCCAGTTTAAAAAAAAAGAACAAATTTGGTCCACTAGAACCCGAGATATGTCATTTTTTTCCAAGCAATCTATTTTGAAACCGTGCGCTCGACTTTTTTGGAGAGCGCGGCTTGTGTGCAATCGGCAATCCCCACTCCTTCCATTCTAGTCGGAACGCAAAGTACTCTTCGTTTACAACACTCCTGTTTAAACAATTTTCAATTATTTTTTTTGCTAAACATTTTGAGAATAACTTTGACTTTTCTTCTAAAAGATTGGTTAATTTCAGCCCTTAATGTTGTTAATTGACGTAACAGTGATTTAAAAAAAAAAGGACTAACTCGGCTCCTAATGGTCGCAGGACCTTTTTTTTTTTAAAGTTGTTGTTTTTTAAACCCGCCTTCCGAATATTTTATTGCCATTTAATTTAAACTAAATAGTACGGAGTTATTGTAAATGTTTATAAACTTAAAATGTGCTATTTATTAATAAATCATTTTGTGTACATAAACGTATTTTTTTTTAAATTTTTTTTCCACAGGATAATAATATATGTCTCATCGAAGAAAATAAGCCCCGGATTATTAAGATCCATTCAGTCAAATTATCTGGACCGGCCTTAGAAATTTGTGCATTTTTCAAAAAATCTTATAAACAAATTAAATTGTGCAAAAACTATTTGACGGATCTAGCCTATTTTTCGCACACACTTCGAACACGATGAGATCTTTAAGTTCAGATACATTTAAATAAATTTTATTGATTACTAAAAGAGTTATTAACAATAATCAAAAACAGCCGTTTTACTTGGTTATTATGCAATAACTTTTTTGTTTATTAACCGATTTTAATTTAGTATATCTCATTTTGTGTATTTTTTCTTTCTCAACAACTCGTCTGTGGACGTCAAATCTCTAAATAGACAAGTTTATAAGTTATGAGCAAAATAATGATATTGACGTATTAATTGTTTATTTAAAAATAGTTCCACTAAAAAATTCATGAATCCCTAGATGAGAGTCTTTTTGTAATATCTCATACTATCCATTTCAACTGTCAAACCCGTCTATACAGTTGTGACGAAAAAACGCTTATTTTCTACTAACTTGACTCGTCTATTATAACTTTTATATTGCATCAGCCAAAGTTTATAACACAGTAATTTTCATTGTAGACCTTGATAAAGGTGGCAAACAACCACCGAAAGCTCGGATTTCAGAATAAATAGTACGCCTTAGCAAAGCTCTATTTTTTATTGACTACCACACCCAAAAAGAAAAAAGTATTTACATATATATAATATATATATATATATATATATATATATATATATATATATATAATATATATATATATATATATATATATAATGTAATCCGTTATCGTCGTATTAATTATAAAGTTAGTTATTCAAATTATGTAATAAAAGTTTTATTAATAATATTTTATACCATTTTACAAAAGGAACCTTTTACTTCATTGTAAATTTTTTTATTACATTAAATATTTTGATGATTTTGGGCTGAAACTAATAAGTATTGTAAAGAACGTAAATCGAGCTTTGACATGAGGTGAGCCTTGACATATGATTCTATTTAATAAAATTTAACAAAATGGCATCTGTCTGATATTTTTAATAATTACGTCACTGATATGTCATAAACTATAGAAAAGTGTCTCAATTTAGTAAATAGAAATAGTTTTGCATGATATTTACAGCTTATCGTTCAAAAAATTTGCCAGGGAGAAATTTGGATCACGTAGTGTATAAAAATCTACGTATGAAATGATTATTATATGTTCATATTTAAAATAATATTGAATATCTATTATTTATTATTTTTAGTTATCACCAGACAGTGTGGAAGATTTCGATCCTCTTCTAAATAAAATAACAACATTGGAGACTAAGTTAAACGTACCCGATGAAATCGATGGATTTGTGATTAAGAACTATCTACCCAGAGACTTGGCAGGTTATTACAGATATGATGGTTCTCTGACAACTCCAAATTGCACTGAAGGCATTATCTGGACTGTGTTTACCAATACCATTCCAATTTCAAAGGAACAGGTGAGCATTAGATAGTTTGTATAACATTGTTTTCTTCCCTTAACTCTTTTTTATCCAGCTTCTACATATTTCTTTTTAATTGCCGTATTGCAAGATTCCAGTAAGAGCTTAATAAGGTATCCATTAAATTCCGACAGGCAACGATGGGGGAAATCTTTTTTGGGTATCTAAAGTCACGAAGCAAGATCATAATGGCATCTTTAGGCCGAGTAGAATACTAAGGCAGAAACCCCCAGGGTAGTGCTGAATTAACCATATTTCGGCTACAAACCTTAACCACCGTTCCAGAGAGGTGGTTTTGCCACTCAATGAACAACTAAAATAAAAAACTAAAAACTTATAAATAACCATACCTATTACCGTAAATCAGAAAATATTTCAGCCGTTGGGCCATAAACTAATAAATAATAACCATAAATTTTAGATCCCTGGTTTAATTTTCTTCTCTGTCCTCCTGCTCCTTTTTCTTCAGCATCCCAGATATCAGACAGTGTACTTCTCTCCATTCTTTCTCTACTCTCAACATTATTTTTACCATGTTCCATGTCATCATCCAGCCCAAAATCCATTCGCCTCTCGAAATCTCCCCTCTCATTTACCCATTTCTGGCAGTTAAAAATGAGGGCGGGAGCGTCCGGTACCCCACAAATAGTATAGTCTGCCGATCAAGATTTGCCTATTCTATTTGTGAAGGTGCCAAAAACTCGTTCGGTCAAAAACTGCGTCAGAAAGTAGTTTAGTTTCCTGAACTTACATTTCCACCACGGTCTCAGATCGGGAATAAGCTCTTTCGTCCACCTTGCCATTCCGCTATCATTCGATCATTCTCTCTGCTACTCTACTATCGTTCTTTCTCTCTCATTTTCATCAATATTTTCATTCATCCTCCTCGCATACACCCCCGCTCACTCTTTGCACAACAAAACGATCGGTATCAGCGCTCCAATGACATATAGAACTTCATTTAAAACTGTTCTATATGCACTAGATACCCTGAGGAGTATTCGCCTTTGTGACGTCTCCATCAGCTTAACGTATTTTGCAGTGTTCAGTACGCTACACCACACGGGGGCAGCGTAGGTTACCACCGACTGGAAAACTCCATTTAGCACCCTTCTTTTTGTGTTATATTAGAGGCTACATTAGATATAGAAGGACAGCAAATATAATATTTCTTATTCTTTATTTATTCCTATGAGAGTAGCTTTCCCAATTACATTCCTCCACGTGTTGCTAGAGGGCCTTTGATAAAGCATTTTCTATCTTTAAATTTAAATAAATAAAGTGTGTGTGTGTGTGTTTGTGAGATTTATCGAATTTTTTATTCGTTTAGGTATCTAGAAGCAAATATGTTGCTTCCTTGGGTGGCGCAAATTCGAAATATCCAATTTTTCATTACTGTGGCATATAAATTAAAACGAATTTGACAGAGACACAGGTTATGTTGGCTTTAAGTGACGCTGTGATTTGTAATTTATTCCTGTAGACCTAGATTTACAAAAAAAAAACACATAAGAAAGAGTTTATTGGGATTCGCGCGATCTCAGTGGTCAGTTGACATTATCTTTATATGATATAACCATACCCTCAAGTTGCTCGCACAGAATAATAGTTTCTAATAATCGTGATGGCCTAGTCAACGTCGTTCTCAAAGAAATATTCATTGGGCGCTCTTGGATTTTATTTAGATTGGTATTGTCTCATATTCGACCATTCTGTTTGTTATCTCGAACACCCCGTTGACCGAAGAAAACCATAATTTAGATAAAACAATTTTATAATTCGCCTTTATTATTGACGCTATATCCATACATGGTGACTAGTCAAGACAGAGTAAATAAATAACAGCTAATACTAACTGTAAACGTTGAGAAGTCAATACTGGAAAGCTGTATAATGGGCCATACTAGAGATTTATATGTTGAATGTTCCATTCATGTATAGTTTTGCGTATTTTGCCAGTTTCTTCTTTGAATTTCTAATATTTTTTTTTGACCTCTTGATCCGAGTTATTATTCTATTTGTTTTGTACCATGTATTTTTTCTTTTACATCTACCCAGGGATGCGGTGTATACGCTGTATTCGACAAAAAAATCTTTACAAAGTGAACAAAACGCATAAATCATAAGAATTTCTATTTTAATTTTATATATCAATACTTTCAATAAATAATTTTTCAACATTATCCGTTTTATTCACTTTGTAAAGATTGTTTTTTTTGATATCGTATACATGTGTTGCTAATCACCATATTCTTTTCTCAGAAGGGTTTGCAAACAATAATGAAAGGCACCATTGTAGACTAACTGTTTATTGCTAAGTACAATAAACATTTATACTACTATTATTTAGGAATATAAAATAAACTACGCAAATTTATTTTCTTTACTAATATGCAAATAACACCCTAATATTTTCCCAGGGTATGCACAGATATGAACCCCTCTTTTCAAATAACATGGCAAGGTAGATTTACTTTCATTTTATTTTACATTGATTTTGCTCCAAAATAAATGTAAAATAGTTGTTACTTGTGAATAATTAATTTTTCCACGAGATTTTTCTTGCATATCATTATTTTGTACATCAGGTAGATCGCACCCTCGAGGTAGACCACATACTAGAGTAACACCGAAATTTAGTACAATACATACATAATAATTCCAAGAGATTTGACTTACCCTCTATTTCCGATTCCGTTTCGTGATCGCTGTCAATAGCAACATTTCCATCACAAATTGATTCAACTTCGCTTATGTCGTCATCTACGTCATCAAGCCATTTCAAAAGCGTTTTCCCATAGTTTTTATCCCCATATTTGACCTTTTTTGACGTACTGGGTCCCTCATCCATTTTTAGATAAATAGCAATAGTAAATACGAACACTAACAACCCGTCTATCAGACGGAAATCACACTTTGAATCTAAATATCTTTAGAATAACAACCTGCAGCAAACTGCCGATCTCAATACTAATACATAACAACCCAACTTGAAAAGTCAGGAACAGGCGACCTTCAAAATTTTTTAGGTAGGGAGATATCCCACTTTCGACAAGCGATGCCGTCTGAGAGACGGGACGTTAGTACTTAAGGGTTAACTATTGTCTGATAAGTAAATAGTATTTTCTCTGAAACGGCCTTAATAAATTCCGATAAGGTTAACTGCATTCTATTGTAAAATTTAGTTTGGACTTGAGTTTCGTTGCAAGAGTTTGTTTTTGACAACTGAAAACCATGGCTTCTACAGGCAGGCGTTGTTGTATAAATAACCCGGACGTTTTTTGCTACATATGTGGCGAGTACATTGTAAAGGAAAGTAGAAAACCAGTTTGTGATTTTATAAAAAGGGCATATCAAGCCTATTTTGGTGTTTATTTAGGAGACCAAAAGAAATCCTGGGCTCCACATGTAGTGTGCAAAACGTGTCTGGAAAACTTGTTACAGTGGACGAAAGGACAACGAAAATGTTTAAATTTTGGTGTACCAATAGTGTGGAGGACACCAAAAAATCATTATGACGATTTCTATTTCTGTCTTGTGAATATAAAGGACATTAATCGTAACAATCGACATACGTGGACATATCCTAATCTGGATTCAGCAGTAAGACCAATGCCACATCAGCTTGAACAGATACCCATTCCAATATTTAGCTGTCTACCTACGTTACCAGAGGATAATAGCGAAACGTTATGTAACGAACTACAGACTAATAGATTTGAGGAAGACGATAGTGATTTTGAAGAGGAGTCAACACGTCCTGAGCTCTTTACTCAGAAAGAGCTAAGTGATCTTATCAGAGATATGAACCTTCCGATTCTTCCGAGTTACTTGCCTCCAAACTAAAGCAAAAGAATCTTCTTCACCCAGACACCAAAATTACATACTACCGTAATAGAGAAAAAGATGTGTTGCCTTTTTTTCAACAAAAGACATAGTTTTTTGTAATAATATTAAAGGACTATTAGACAAAATGGGTGTATCGGAATATACACCAGACCACTGGCGTCTTTTTATCGACAATTCCAAACGAAGTTTAAAGTGTGTATTTTTACATAATGGCAACAAATATGGAATTATACCAATTGGACATTCTACAAAAATGAAAGAAGAATATAAAACAATTTCGCTGGTGCTAAAAAACATTAAGTATGAAACATCAGTGGGCGATTTGTGTTGATTTTAAAAAGATGAACTTTCTCCTGGGACAACAAGGTGGCTATACAAAATATTCTTGTTTCCTGTTTCTTTGGGATAACAGGGCCAACACTGAAGTAGAAGAAAATAGCATCCCAGAGATGCTTTAGTTCAAGGAGAAGCTAATGTAGTTAACGAAGCATTGGTCGACTGAGAGAAAATAATATTATCTCCGTTACATATTAAACTAGGGCTGATGAAACAATTTGTAAAGACCCTAGACTAGAATCGTCCTTGTTTTGAATACTTGTCCAGCAAATTCCCTGCACTTAGTAAAGAAAAATTGGAAGCCGGAATATTTGATGGGCCTCAGATACGACAACTTATAAAAGATTCGCATTTTAGAGAATCGATGACTGAAATTGAGTGTAACGCGTGGTGCTCCTTTGTGAAAGTTGTGCAAAATTTTCTTGGAAACAATAAATCGGAAAATTACCGGGATATAGTGGAAAAAATGCTCAACAATTTTAACAAACACGGTTGTCATATGACTATTAAAATTCATTATCCCCATAGCCACTTAGACCGTTTCCCAGAAAATCTTGGAGACCTTAGTGAGGAACAAGGGGAATGCTTCGACCAAGATATCAAAACGATGGAAGAGAGGTATCAGAAGAGATGGGTCACTCACATGATATCGGATTACAGCTGGAATCTTCAAAGTGACCATACTTATAAAGCCTTTGCAAGAAATCATATAAAATGAAGTTTTTAGGGGACGCTGAATAGCAGATTTGTGCTGCGATGCTGATTAGGTTAGATGAAAATTAAGTTTTTTTGGCCGATATGTGTGATGATTTTTGTAAGTACATTATTGTACAATAAATATCTTACTTTTTATTAGTGTTTTGTTTATTTAATTGGTAGCAGCACTACATATATGTAGCTAGTGCTGCGTTAAATTACCCCACATGTTAGAAATGTGATCTGTTGTATTTCCTGAAAACGATCTGATGGAGCAAATCAGGTAGCATTTTTGGATTCAGCAGACCCAAATTACCTAGAAACAGTAAAAATATCTCCGGCAGCAAACTGTGTGATTACCAGTGTTATATATTTTACACGTACGTAGTTGTGCGTCGCAGGCCATTGATGTGACTTTGAGGTGATAGCATACTACTACAACAGAAGTGTTACAAAAATGTAATTGTCAACTTCTTACACATCCGTAATACAAATGAAATGTAATCGTATCTGTTGTTTTCTGCTGTGTTTTCGCTGTATTACATGCAGTACACCCACAATTTTAAATGTTTTGTATTTAAGTGTATGTATACACCTCGTATTCAATACCTCAAATAACAATGGATCGTAAAATATTAAAAATTTAACAAATTAATTGATTAAAAACAGATTACAATAAATTATTGACTGAAAATATAATGTTTAACATAACCTGTTTAACATTAAAATATCGGGGATAACTATATTTACGTTAATCACCTGTCAAATTTACGTCGGAAATTGTTGCTAACATGGACGGATAAACACAGATGGACTCAGTTATTTACATAAAATTGTGAAGACAAAATTATTTGAATAGGTCACATTCTCAGCACCTTCAACTGTTGTCACGTTTTGTTTTAAAATGTCTTATTCGCGAGTCGCTGAAAATATTACTCCCTATTTTATCTTCTACAGGTGATATCAAACCAAAATAATAATTTATTGGTTAGATTAATATATTTAAATGTAATTAAAATATAAAGTGTGCACATAGTGTGCATTATCATTTAATAATAGCGTATAATAGATACCAATCAATTATTTTATATGTAGAAGCACTGAAAACTATTTATAAATGGCAACGGTTGTTTGCATTTCTCTGTCTTATGGATCTACGTCAAACTAATGCTGTTCGATGTTTGTTTACTTTTTACAGTAGATGAGGGAAAAGTTGTTTTTCGATATTTTGGCTGTATTTTCAGTGATATTTGTAAAAAGTGAAATAAAATAAACGAAATATTTAAATCCCGATCTCTCATTTCATTTGTAAGTATATACAATTTACATTATTTAAGATGAGGAAATGAGGAAGCGTGTTTGTTTACATTTTAATAGGCGTACCATTGGGTTTATTCATGTTCATCAATGTATTGAATAAGATATAAGTTCATGAAATTAGTAGACATTTTTAAATTGTAAGTAGACATCGTCTGATTAAAAAAGATCTGTTTAGTACCTTTTTAATTTTATATTTTTCATGGATGCAAATAAATTAGTGAAATGAATAAAACTCATTTATTTTTCTATGTAGGTTTCCAAAAAATATTGACGATCGAACTATTTTGGTAGCAAATTTAGTAGAAAACATAAAGATTTTTTATTGTAGCATTATTATGATACCTATTAAAAATTAACTTGAATTCAACTATATTTTATTGTATTAGTTTTAGAGTAAATAAAATTGTATTTTAATTTTTCTATAAAGTCGTGATTTGTTAATAGTTAAACTCTTGTTTTTTTAAATTCTTTGAACGTGTTTTTATACATTATTACTACTTCAATTTTAAAGTCTGAATAATTATCCCGCGAGTAAAAATTCAAGCACGCTTATGCTCATTGCGGAAGCATCACATTCTATCGAAGCTTCAAAACATTGTGTGTTAAAGGTATCTTATTGCTGTGTCCATCTGTGTTTATACGTCCATGGTTGCTAATAATGGGATGTCAGTCAGAAGGAAAACAAAAAAATATTGCTAAGAATACATGCAAAAATTAATATAACCTAAACTAACCTAACAGTTTTGAGCTTTAATCTTTCTATTCCAAAAATATTGACTTAGAGGATAACATTTTAATGCATTTTTTCTTTAAAATAGATGATCAATTTCTCAGTATTTCTTTAATATATTTTACAATGTACTTTTTTAGGTGGAAGTATTTGAAAAAATGCATACCGATGACGATTCAGTTCTCAAAGAAACCTTTCGATCTCTACAAGCGTTAAATGATAGGACAGTACTGCACAAAGTAAGTCCAGTGAGAAATATGCCGGACAGTGCAGTAACTACAAGCATATCAGCAGTGACATTATTATTGGTTTCTTTAATTATATGTTTAAACCTTTAAAATTTATGTTATTCATATTGAATACAAGTTAAAGACATATGAAATTTACGGCTCTCCATATGTAGGACCTAAATTTTTATAGTAATTACTATTTAAATGGAAATAAGCCACAATTAAAGGTTAAAGTAAGTTTATTGACGTTTCAGTTTCCACTTCGGAAATCGTTCAAAAGATGTCAATTTTAAAATAAACGCTCGTTTTAATTTTTGAAGTGGAAATTTAAACGTCAATAAACTTACTTTAACCTTTAATTGTGGCTTATTCCCATTTAAATAGTAATTACTTTAAAATGACACAAGAAATTAGCTTCAGAACAATACTAAATTTTTATCTTTGGATATTTAACTGTACCCTACTTGGTTTCTACTCTGTTTTTTCTATGTTGAACAATTTTAATACATCTTGTTCAGCATTAAAGCCAGACGAATATTTAAATTGTAGCTTTGTGTTTCTTATTTTTTCGTGTTTGTTATTTTTAGTTTTCTTTATTGTACAATCATTTTGTCTCAGGGTATGATCAATTAATTTCGATTTGATTTGTCTCTATATTTGAGTTAATACCAACATATCGAGAAAAATCATAATTGGAGTATGTAATACAATTTAAATGATAAACTGGTTGATAATTTAGCCATTTTAAAGACCAAAGATATCAGTACCTAATATTTCCGATTTGTCGTTAGTAATATAAAGGTAATTTTTTAAAATATTATTTTGTTAACATTGATTGAAAAAATTGTAGACAACAATTTAGGATATGTATGTGTTTTGTATAGTTGTTTAAAATACCAAAACACTTCATTTTTATTGCATCAAGTACTCTTAGGGTATTAGGTTTGATTTCCATGGCTCTATAGATTTCTTTCAGCTAAAAAGTTATATTTGATATTATGTTGTTTTAAGTACGTTCTTTTTTATTATTTAACGAATGTGATGTAACACTTAGTCCTTTTTCTTTGTGTTTTTGCTATTATGTCGGTTTTTACCCTATATATTGTCGTTTTAACATAATTTTTATGTTGCAACTCCAATTCCTATTTTTTTTTAATACTTGTATATATTTATTTTGATATCTGTATATAATTTTTATGTAACATAAACTAGATACTTTACTGTTTAGTTTTGTATTGAATTTCTTGTTCTTTTGTACATAATAAATATAAATATAAACTGAATTACCTCAATTTTTAGACGTTTTTATTTCAATATTATTTCCTTATTTCATCAATTTTGGTTTAATTTAACTATATAAACGTAAAAGTGCTGGGAACAGTATACTGGCAGATAAATCAATTTCTAACCATTAGTTGCATTTGAAATGTTAAGTGAAAGAACAATATAAACGCCAAAAACGAGAATTTAAACTGAGATATCCAAATAGTTCATATTTAACGCATCAGTGCAAGGAACAGTAACCAGGGTCAATGTATGAATAATCATTTTTAGCGTATATGTACTATGTGAAAAAAACCTGAAACAGGTCGATTTTTATACTTAAATTGACAATTTACAGTATAAAAATATTATCCCCTGCAGCACTGCCTTAAAATTATAAGAACCCCGTCGAAAATTTTTAATAACAAAGGGGGTCGTGTGACATCTTGTTAAAAAGGGATTTTAGTCCTCTGTTCAGCATTAAAAAGTTTTTTAAGTTTGATGCAATGAACTGAGAAAAGTAATTTTTAAGATGTAACATTTTGATAATGTCTCTATCACAAAATCTTGGTTCGAATGACGATAATAATTACACATGATATTAAAAATGTATTTTTCAATGTACTTTACAATTAAATTAAATGTTCAAAATGACCACCATTCACTTCTTGACAATAAACGAGGCGATTTTGGAATTCCCGTACAAGATTTGTATGACCTCGGGGGTTATTTTGTTATTTTTTTCAATTATCCTAACTTTTAAATCAGCAATATTGCCTGGTCTATTAAAATATACTTTAGAAATAATCAGGTATTTTCGTATCTGTTCTGCTAAACAGTATTGAAGGTAATAAAATATTAGTCAAAAAGCCAAATACACAATTGATATGAATCTAGTAGGCTGCTGTCATTTAGGTATTTAAAGTTACTAAAAGACGTCAGTATAATATTTGTGTGAGTATTAAATTTAATTGTGGCTCAGTTGTTCGAGACTCAAAGAACAGAGATTAATTGATTGGTTGTGGTAATAAAACAAGAACTCAAAAGGAGATTTGTGGAAAGTTTAATAATAAAATACCCTTGTCAACAAGTGTCGCAGTCTACAGTTAGCAAAATTAAAAAGAAGTTTTGTTATACTGGACCTGTGAAAAATACTGAAAAACCATGTAGAAATGTTAAATTTACTAATCAAAAAAAGTTGGATGTACTTCTAGAGATCGAGAAAAATCCGCCATAAAGCTACTCGAGATTGTCGCCTTCAATAATGTAAGTAAATAATCTATTTTGAGAGTTTTGCATAAAGAAAAATACCACCTTTACAAAGTTTAGTGAGCTCAGAAGTTAAATGAAGATGACCCTGACAGAAAGCAAGACTTCTATGAAATGATGATGGACAAAATAAACGCAGATTTGCGGTTCATAAACAAATAGTTTTTTTTTCTGATGAAGCGACGTTTCATTTGAACGGAACGGTTAACAAATAGAACTGTAGATATTGGAGCAGACAAAATACTCACTGGGTGTGTGAGACTCACACGCAATATCCTAAAAAAGTTAACGTTTGTGCTGGTATCATTAACAATAAAATTATTATTCTTTTTTTGAGGGCACAGTTGATTGTGAGGTTTATCTAGATTTTTTGATTAACTTTTAGTGCATACATTACGAAGATTTTTTCCTGATGGTAATCATTCAAATAAGATAAATCGATCTATTTACTACTAACAAGACGGGGCTCCACCGCATTTTACACTTTTATTTAGAAATTATTTAAACGAGGTTTTTCCCAATAGGTGGATTGGAAGACAGAAAGGTGGTAGAACGATCAAATGGCCAGCTAGATCTCCGATTTGACTCCTCTACCTCTTATGAGGTTATTAAAAATTTGAAGTATATTTTAATAGACCAAATAGTATTGCTGATTTAAAAGTTAAGTTAACGGAAGAAATTAACAAAATCACCCCCGAGGTCATAAAACTGTGAGATCTGATCGGTATGCAAGAATGAGGGTCATTACACTTATTAATGACTGAAAATTTATGTTTGTGACATTATTATCGTCATTCAATCTAAAGCTTTGTGATATAAACATTCTCAAAATTTTACATCCTAGAAAATCACTTTTCTCAGTTATCAGCACCAAACCTAAAAAACTTTATATTGCTGAACAGAGGACTAAGTCCCTTTCTATCAAGGTGTCACACGACCCACTTTGTTATTTAACATTTTCGAGGAAGTGCTTATAATTCAAAGGGTGCTAGAGGGGAATAATATTTTTATACTGAAAATTGTCAATATAACAATAAAAATTGACCTATTAAAAAAAATGAATTTATTCCATACATATGGACCGCATGGTATAAGCATCTTTTTGTGATTCATTATCGACAGAACAAGGACAAGCGTTGCACCGTGTAGGCTTTTTTAATATTCACTAATGAAATAAGATTTTTGTGGCACAAAAAAAAAACACAAAAAACAACTTCAATTACCAAAAAAAATTATAAAAATAATAACAAAATCCAGCGGAAGCCTCCGAAAAAAATTAACAAAACCAGAAATCCGTGCACGTAAGGCCGAATCCTTTTAGCACCAAGTCTCCAAATTGGGCGCAGCTAATTTTTGTTTCTAGAAGCCAGAAGCTCTTTCAACAGTCTTAGGAAGATTCTCTGCAACTTATCTTTAGGTATCAATATACGCATAAGAATTCATTAGATGTTACGTCTTTAGTGTCCTCCTCTATGGAGTAGAAATCTGGAGCCTTACAGAAGATGCCATAAAACGATTGGAGGCATTTGAAATGTGCTGCTACCTACGTATGTTCAGGGTCTCATATATACACCACACAAGTAACCCTAGTAACACACGACGTCCTATGGACGTCCAATATACGTCCAGTTTTGGTCCGGACGTCCCTGGACGTAAAATGGACGTACTATGGACGTACGCAGTGGGACGTACTTTGGGTGGACCAAATATGGACGTTCTCTGGACGTCCGTACTCGGACGTTCCCTGGACGTCCATACTCGGACGTTCCCTGGACGTCCGAACTCGGACGTTTTCTGGACATCCGACATTTACCAATTATGGGATCAAATAGCAAATATTTCAATAAAATAAAAAATTATTTACGTTAATAAAATAATTAAAAGCGAAAAGGTTAAATCACAATTAATTAAAAATTGTATAGTTTAATATATCCAAAACATGTTTTTGTTTTTAGGTAAAGTGTAAAAATCTTTTATTTCTAGATAATTCGTTACAATTGTTTTATTATTCTAGTTATTAAGATAATAATATATATGTTTGCTAATTCTAATAAGTAAAAATATGATTTTTATCGACAAGATGAATCTTGATAATCTTTTCCACAGAATAATTGTCTCTTTTGTCTTTTCAAAGACAAAATAATGAAAAATAATGATGTGATATGACATGTGATGATTGATGAAATTAATTGTCAATATTGTCATTGTCATGTCATACCTATTTAATTTAAACAAATGGCACAGTTTAATCATAATATTATATTATTATTATTATTGCTTTAATAAAAGAAATAAAATAACTCTATTTAAGCTGTGTACAGTGCATTGGTCTTTTTTAAAATAGTGCATGGTTAAAAGTTTGGTACCATTTTTGTTAGGTTATTTCCGAATTTGGTTTTTATTTTATTACAAAAAGGTAAGTAATTTTTTTTAAAATTGTTTATGTTTAAAAGTAAACGATTTGTTTCTAAGCGTCATCAACAGAGGAAGGTTACGAAAAACGTAGAGAATATTGTTGAAAATATTAATAACCCCCATATTCCGTCTTCTTCAAACCTCTTCGGAATCACTAACTGATAATTTTGACGAGAGTTTCAGTTCAAATATGTAGTTCTGGTTACAATACTTCCGATTTAAACTTTTTATTAACATGTTAAGTGCCTAAAATAATCCACATTATCACGTGGCCGACCATTCCAATGATACTTTACAAAGCTTTTTTTTTCAATGAAACTGAAGAAGGGTTTAAATATGGTTGTAACGAGAATTCT